GATTTATTTGTCACCGAAGGCTACAAAGAGAATACGGCTTCGACTTCGAGCGCTTCCAATAGGTCTCAGTTGCCATCGAATCCATGTCCGATTGGATCTCCGACTCGTATTTCGGGTTTATTTCGCAAGAATTCACCCAAAAATGGCTACAAATCAGGTGAGAGTGGGAGCGAAACGAGTGCTAAAAGACCGGCATTTATGAGTGGATTCGAGAAGAAAGTGGTCGAAGAGGTGAAGAAGGGCTCAATGGATGTGTCGAAAGCGAGACAAGCGTTGAAACACATGAAGAACTCGTTTAAGAATCCGATGAAACAGAACAACACCGAGAATGAGGAGCCCATTGATCCGCACCTCAAGAACATTGATCCCAATCTTATAGAAGTGATTGAAAACGAGATAATCACTGCCTTAGAGCCCATCAATTGGTCGGACGTCGCGGGACTCGAGTTCGCGAAGAATAAGATCCAAGAGATCGCTGTTTTGCCACTTCTTAGACCCGATCTGTTTCGCGGTTTACGGAAACCACCGAAAGGTTTGTCTCTCAAAAAAAGTACTGAATTTAATGGACGAATGAATGAAACAGTTGTGTTGATCGCACAGGTATTGTACTATTCGGACCGCCGGGCACTGGGAAGACATTTCTGGGCCGTTGTATCGCCTCTCAGACCAAATCGACATTCTTCTCGATCACAGTGTCGGCGCTGAACAGCAAATGGATAGGAGAGGGCGAGAAGACTATACGCGCGATGTTTGCGGTCGCGAGGGCTCGACAGCCGTCCGTTATATTCATCGATGAGATCGACTCACTGCTGAAGACCCGGTGCGACAGCGAACACGAGTCCTCCCGACGCATGAAAACTGAGTTTTTGGCTCAATTTGAAGGCGTCGGCACCGTTTCGGACGAAAAGCTGCTGATAATCGGCGCCACAAACAGACCGCAGGAGTTGGACGACGCGGCCCGGCGTCGACTGTCCGCCAAACTGTATATCCGACTGCCGGACGCCTCCGCTCGCAAACAAATCATCGAAAATTGCATTAAAACAGAGAAACACTGTTTAAGCGAAGAGCAGATGCAGTCGTTGGCCGACCAGACGGACGGCTACTCGTGCGCTGATATGAGAGACCTGTGCCGCGAGTCAGCGATGGAACCCATGAGAGACTCCATTATAATGAGTAATATCACAGACATATCGGTCCATGAGATCCGTTCCATCACTTCCGAGGACTTTGTGAAGAACTTATCGTATGTTAAGCCGACGGTCAGGAAGGAAGACATCTTGATGTTTGAGAAGTGGAACCACGAGTTCGGCACCAATTGTCGACAAAATTAGCTTTTGTTTATTCAAAGAGTAATTGTAATTACATTTAATAGTACTGTAATTGTATTTAATGAATTTCACAGTAATTGTCATTTTCTATAAATGTTACTTTTGTCACCTTTTTATAATTTGTTTCAAAGAATGAATGAAGTGTTTATGTAATATATAAATAAAGATTTAGTTATCTCTCAATTAATTCAAGTTTTATAAAGTCAACTAAAATTGGTTTACATACTATAGGAAATGAAAAATAAACATACCGTACGAAAATAGTACATTGTTAGTAAGAATTTTTGGAATCATTACATAGAGTACAGTAGTTATAAGATAATAGTCACAATTATTACTGTATTATTAGGATTGACTCAAAAATTATAGAAATTAAATGAAATCAAAGAAAGGTTTAGTTGTTATCGTTGGAGACATTGATGGGAACAATGCGTTCGTTGTCTTCAACGGCTTTCATGTCCTTCTTCTTGGCTTCGATCAGAAGAACTCCTTTCGAGTCGAGACTCGAGACCACAGT